TGCAAGTTTAGAATTGGCATGCATGCAGAAATAAAGGTATAGTAGCCTTGCAGAGAGAGGTTTTTTTAGTCCATTGTACCATGGATCCATCTAGCTTTGTATAATCCATTCCAAAGATTGAGAACATAGAATCATACATTGTTTTATTGGAATGCACTCTAGCGTAGAATGCTATCATCATCATTATAGTTAAGAACCAACTCCCTGCAAATGCAGGAATTCCGAGCTGAAGCATCCTTGACGGATGGCCACCCAACCTCCTTGTAAGGCCACAATGAAGGAGGACCCATCACCTTCAGAGACAGTATATTCCCTGTGAGCCTCCAGACAATGTGGACTATTGTATCCATCATCCCTGGGAATGATGAATAGCATCAGCAAGGCCCCAAGGTTTCCCGTTCCTTATCTATACTGACTCATGACTTCCTGAGGTCTTAGGCAAGGGTCTGTCCCCGCTCTGATCTAGAGATACCAGGGAATGAATGTGACATCACTTGTGTCCAAAACATCTGCCATGCCATTCAACAATGGCCCCTGTGAAGCTCTGGAGGGCTATCTAACCACTGTTTTTTTAAAAAGCCCTGTTTTGGTTTCTGAGATTTCATGACATTCAGGCTCATTCTCAAGCTCAGTTTTTAAAGGGAAAGGTGCTTGTAGAGCAGTTTTGCCTGTGATGCTCTTGGCATTCTCTTCCACCAGTCAGGTGTGGTTTGAACAGGCAACTGATGCTTGTGAAATGTTTTGGATGTCTTAGCAGAACAGGTCATAATTTCCAAATAGCTTCCAGGCCTGTCTTCTCCTTCGCTGTGGCTCAACTCCCGGCTGGACTGTCTTTCCCCCACTCTTCATATTCTGCCTGTGCACTAGTTCTCTGACCCAGCTGCCTTGAACCTACATACTAATTCAGCATTGTCTCTAGGACACATATGTAAGTGGGGGGAGGTTCCTGATGATTTATGTTATTTTCTGAACCATTGCTTCCTGCAAGGAATTCCCATTTGCTGAGGCATGTAATGACTCCCAATGCTTTTGCTGTTAGCATTACTGTCTGCTAGCTCTGGTATCATCTTCACATGTGAAAGTAATATTCTTTCAGAACATCTCTCCTATTAATTTTACTATCTGCCATCCTACGTGCACCCTCAGTCTAAAAATCGCCATTGCCTTGAGACTCAACTAAATGGTGTTACATCAGGGTCAGTGTATAGAAGGTTCCATTATGTTGACCATGGTTGCAGATGTTGTTGCTGGGGAATGTTTTCCTTTCTTTTTGTTTCATGAGACACTTTCAAAAGGGAAAGGTTTGGGAGGACTAGATGAGTAGAATTTGAAAAACATACATCTTTTGGACCATAGCTCTCAAAATATGTCAACCACCAGGGCTGCAGATCCTTCTTGCTTTTGCATTCAGTGCATCATCATGCAGGAAGCAGACTTTTTCAAGCTTTGACGATGAGGCTAGCTATAAAGCCAATGAATTTAGGTCTAGATTTGATCATTTTGGTTTGGAGTGTATGTAGGGCAGGAGCAGGCAACGTGATTTATGATCACCTGTGCTCATTCTCAATCTTTATTTAAATACATGTCACGGGGAGAGGAGAAACTGAACCACTGAACAAGGTGTTCTCTGTTCAAGCACAAACTAAAGCATGACTTCACGATCCCTTTCTTAGGTTCAAAATC